TCTGACTTCCAATTTATCAGACTCAAAATATATAAATAGGTTATATAATATCCTTTCTTAAAGTTATATAAATTTAATTGGTTTTCAAGTGCAAATTGCAGATTATTCCTATCATTTCAAATGGTTAGTTATTTCTGAAATCAAATATAATTATAAAGGCCTGTAATGGCATTTTTTAAAAATATTTAACTTTTAGTTATAGTTGGACACAATACCTTTATTTTATTTATTTATTTTCATGTGGTGCTGAGGATTGAACCCAGGATCTCACTTGTACTAGGCGAGCACTGGACCGCTGAGCCACAACCCCAGCCCTGTAATGGCATTTTAAGTGACAAAACTTCATTGATTGCCTTGGGATAGAAGATGAGGACCTTGACTTCAATGAGTTCTGTCATGACAGGGTCAATGTGAGGGAGAGTGTTTGGGGAAGGGAAAGCTTAAACCCAGAAAAACATCTCACTCTATAGAAAACACTGTTTACTGACAACTCTAAGGAGAAGAAAAAGGGAGGAATAAGCAGAATTAAAGCAACCACAAAAGAAAGAAACAGAAAATTTTGAATGTTAACACTACAGAGTCCCTAATACTGGCATCATACTAAAAAATAAAACCAAGGACATGGTTCCTAATGACTTTCCTGGCAATTATGTGTCATTGGTAGCATCTGCAATGGAAGGGGGAGCCCAGGTACACATGAAACCTAGTGAAAGGGGAGTTCCCCAGGCAAGAAATGCCATATTTTATGATTCCATTTATATRATATATCAATAAAGGGTAAATCCATAGAGACAAAAAGCACATTGGTCATTTCCAGAGAGTAGGGAAAAGGGGGGCTGCTTAATGAGCATGGAGTTTCTTTTTGGTGCAATAACAATATTTTAGGACGAGGCAGAGGTGGTAGCTATATAACATGGAAAATGTATTAAATGTTGCTGTACTGTATACTTTAAAGTGGTTTATTTTATGTTATAGGAATTTTACCCTAATTAAAAAAAATAAAGGAAGGCGGGAGACAGGGCAGGAAGGAAGGAAAAAGGAGGGGTGGAGAGGGAGGGGAAAGGAGTACCTAAGGAAAAGAGGGTCAGGGTTTCTAATAGGGTCCTGCTACCCTATTGTCTTGGGGTCCTTCTGCTCAAGCCCCAGTTGAGCTCCAGTGTGTGAGGGTGATAGGCACAGAGGTGAAATGACTGAGGGGGAGGGAAAGAGCGAAAGGGTCCAGGGAAGGAGAATGGCCGTAAGCAGTTTGGAAAAGGGGAAAGTTCAGAGCTGCTGAGAAAGAGCAAGTTAGTGTTCACAGCACACTGGACGGTTGAGACATGAAGGCTCAGATATGCTGAAGCTGAAGATGAAGGGAGTGGAAAGGCAACCAGCAGAGATATCATGAGAGAATCCTTGGAAGGGGACTGAGAACAGGTCCCTAAAATTCCCCCATACAAAGTAAAAGTGGGCAAATTAGGAGACAACATACTATGTCAATGTCTTATAAAAATAAAGGCAAAGCCACTAAGGAATACAAGAGGAGAGAGAGCACACATAAGTGTGTGCACACACAAAGTAAATAAATAAATAAGTAAATAAATGTTAGGGTAGAAAATTCCTTGCTGGCTCCTAAGAAATCTTACTGTTAGGGGCTTTTTTCCCCATTTCTTTTTTCTTTCTGTGGTACTAAAAATGGAACTCAGGGCTTCATACAGGCTAAGTGCTATACCACTGAGCTACATCACTTAGCACTTCATGCTTTATAGAGCTTTCTGGTCTGCTTAAGGCAGAATCACTGCCCAATTTTGGGTCTTTCTGTTAAGGCTCAGGATCACCACCTCTCAGTAACAGCCAATTGATTAGCATTTTCAAGAGTAGGGGTCTATTTATAGCTTTTCTTACCATTGGTTAGCAAAAGTGAATGGCAGAATATCACAGTTCATGCATGATCGTTTACTAAATGCCWCTCTTCTCTGGGCTTGGTCTGGCTTCCCAAGTCACTGGGGTACAGACTCTACCCTCTAGGGGTACTGGGAGCACAATGGGGTTACTTCTGTATTGTAAGAGGTGCTGGGAGATAAGATGGTTCCCTCTCTGTAGGGAGAAGTAGGGAAAGCTTGTACTCATGAAAGAATGGCCTGTGATCAAGTCCCAGTTCCACAAGTCTCTGCTAGACTTATGACTAGACTTTTGACCTTACTATTCTGGGTCTCAGTGTCCTTACCTGTAAAGTGGGGATGACATCTACCTGAAAGGTTGTTGTRCCACAAGTAAGGTAGTCTATGTAACACACCCCAGCAGCTTTCAGCTGTGATAGATGCTTCATATAGGACACGTGTTTTTAACTGAGGACAAATATGTGAGGTATGAGGAGGGCGTTCTGGCCAGACAGGGTGAAATGGGGACAGAAGCCAGAGAAAGCATAGCTCCTTGGGGGAGGAAGTAGAAAGTAGGGCTTGGTGAAGTGGAGGATATGTAATAGGGGTGCTGAACAGAGGCTGGGAACCCATCTTGCCAGGGGAAAGATACTTACTAGCTGCAAAGGACCTGGGCTTGACCCCGTGAGTAGGAGAGCAGCACATGAAAATACCTACCACAGTTGCCACTAGGTGTTCTTGAACACTTTAAACTTACAAAATTCATAAACAGCACCTTTTCACTCTTGGACACTGGCCCTCTTTAATCAACTCACATTATCTCACTTAGATTACTTGGCCAATGGAATGTAAAATGTTTAATGAACTTACAAGTTTCTCAACAAGTATCTGCTGAATGAACGTTTTATTCTAGACTGCATGGGGACAAGTGGAAGTTATAGTTTTAGTTGGTCAATGAGATACCCACAAAGTGACAAGGGAACGCAAAAACAAAACAAACAAACAAACAACAACAACAACAACAACAACAACAACAAAAAACACTGCAGAAAAGCTCAGATTGGTGGGCAAGGCCAGTCCTGGAAGGGTTTCACAGTCCTTGTCAACACATACAGCTGATGATCATGAGCAATAAGCTGGCAACCCAGCTGTGGCTTATCAAGGGCCAAGGAAGAATTGCTGGCTGGTGGGAGAGGTCCCTGTACCACTATTTTATGACAGACACTTTTAGAACTGCCAGTTCACAGTGATAATATAAGAAGTAGACCTATTTTTGTTTGATTTTATTAGTGACTTTAAACTCTCGAAAGACAAAGTCCCACTAACTGCCTACACTCAGCATGGGAAGACCATTCCAATACCTCTCTTTCCCATTTGGCAAGGCACTGTCTCTGGGAATACGCAAAAGGGGATAAGCCCCTATCTTWTTTTTTTTTTTTTTTTTTTTTTTTGTGAGGGTGAAGCGAAACAAGCTAAGAGGAAATTCCTCTTGGCCCAGGGTTTGATATTGACTTGAAACATACTCCTTTTTTCCTTCTATCTGGCTTTCTTTTCGCCCTCCCTAAATGGTTCCACAATCCAGTAAGGATAAATTAGCCAATGTTTAGTCAGTTCTCCATCTGTATCAGTGCTGTCCCTTAGTACGCTACCATCCCTTCCAAGAAAATGTAAAAAAAGTGGGTCAGAAACTGGCAGCTTTTAACTTCATGTCCTAAAAGGGACCAAAAGCCTCAGTGGGGGACTACTGTGAACAAGGATGGTTACTGTGGATGTGGCACTTGTGTATCCCTGTACTTTGCCCCAAATCTCAAACAAAAATTTATACTGTCAAGAGCTTGTCCCAAAATAAATTGAGCAAATCACACAATGTTATGTGTAATCATAGATCACCACAATTTTTCAGGAGTTCTTGCTTCACCCACATTGGTGGTAATGTTCATATTTTCCACAAGCAGAATGGCTAGTTGCTGCAAAACTTTGAGCTCTTAAGTTGTCCCCAAAGCATCCCCTCAAATACCCTGAACAAAGAGGGAGAGCAGAGAACATGCTATGTCTTTGTCACCTCTTAATCTTGATGTGTGGAAGGAATACAGAGTGCGCTTTCTTTCACCGATAACAAGAAAATCCAGTAGATTTTCTTCTGCATAAAAAAAGTCCAAAGTTGCTGAAGTACTATCGCTATTAAGAAATTAAAAACATTTTTCTTACTTTCTAATTAACTCCTTTGTAGGCTGAAAACAACTCTACTGCCTGGTTTGAGGGGAAGGAGAATAGAAAACATGTAACTAAATAAATGGACCAAGTGTATTTATTTGTTCAAGAAGACATTATTTAAAAAATATATTCGTGGGGAACGTATCCTTGCAGTAGAAAAGAAATTCCGTTAGGAAAAATTGATCCCTCTGAGTGTCAGAGGGAGCTTGGTTTTGGGAGGGGTCGATTTCCTCAACCCGGAAAGAAGGGATTACTGGTAACAAAGTCTTCCAAGCACCCTCACCAGCCAGTGGCTACAGTGTTATCCCCAGTCTAGAGAACCTCCGGAATACCCCGGGGCAAGGCCTTTCTGGGGACTGCTGGTCTTGATTGTCTGCTAAAAGTGCCTAGGGCTTTCTTTACAAGACTCCCCCTACCCACCCACCCCCAACCTCACGCTCCCTACCCGGCCAACCCTAGAACAAGGTGCAAGAAAAAATCATTCCAACAAAGCAAAACTCCAGGGGGAGCGGTTCTCCACTTTGTACAAAGAAACTGGAACGATTATTGGTGGAGCGACGCGAGACCCTTTGTTTTGGGGGGTGGTCTCGGGAGAAACAGGCCTCACAATGACAGCAAATGCAACGCTCCAGGAGAATCGGCCCCCTCTTTCCTATCGAACACCCGGTGGCAGACTGCTCAAAAATCAAGTCCAAAGGGGCATTGGCGGAGCCCAGAATGGGGTTTGCTGGGGTGGCACGTCCCGCCTAGATGTCACTAGGGGAGACTCCGGATCTCAGCCTAAATGCCAGTTTGGTTTCTGAAGGAAACTGAGGCAGGGTTGCTGCCAGGGACAACCCCTGAAGGAACAGGGGCAATTCTTACCAAGGTAACCCGCATCAGCGTCCCTCCATCTCCTGCCCGACCCACTCTCCCAGCTGCTCTCACCTGGCTTGCGGCCTCGGATGCGGGCCGACAGCAGGGGGCCGCACAGACTGAGGCCGGCGGCGACCAGCAGCAGCCGCCGCGGCCCCATTGTCCCGAGGCTGGCGCGGCTCCGCGCGGTGCTGCTCCTAGAAGTTGCCTCGCTGCGGGCGGTTTGGCTCCGCTCCGCTCGGCCCTCTTGCTTTTTTTCTGGCCGAGTGGAGCTGCGGGTTGGTGCCGGAGGGCAGATGACTTCCTGAGGCAAAAAGAAGAGAGAGACTTGGGCGTCCTCCGCGGGCGGTGTGTCTGGCTGCAGCTGGGAGAGCGCAGGGCGGGCGCTGACGGAGATGGGGGCGGGACCCGGCGCGCGGCGCGAACTGAGCTATTCCAGAGTGGCGCCCCCCGGCGCGCATCCTGAGCCTCCTAGCTGTCGCCCACTCCAGCTGCACTGAACCTCCGCCACCCCCGTCAACCCTTCCAGCACTGTGCACCACAGCCCTGCGCGCTTTTTCGCGGGCCCGGGCCGTGCCACTGCCAGGCTGGGGARACCAAAAGTCACGGTCTCCTCCCGGCGTCGTTGCCCTGAGAGGCTGTCAATGGCTCAGAATGGCGGGGTCCTGGGGCGACCCGTGCAGCTCGTAGGCTGCTCCCTTGGCCTGTCAGAAACCTCCCAACCACGCCGACTGGGACCGTGGTGTCCAGGATGCCCCCAAAGATCGCGGTCTCCGCGGTCCCGGCCAAAACTTTCCTTCCTCGCTCAGGGCATGGAACCTCGTGCCAAGCGCTGTGGCTGCTTTGGGAAGTTTGGTATCTAGCTAAAACCTCGGGAGTTGTTTCTGTTTCTGTAATTTAGGGATAATGGATTTAAAAGTTTATAGTGTAGTCACAGGAGTGTCCCCAAATGTTTGGACAGAATTCGTGACATGTAAACTTCTTTTCTCTTTATTTCACAGCATTAGACATTTTATAGTCCGATGCTTGTTCTTTCACAGACACGCTGCCTACTGCGACCGTCCTATCTAACCAACTCATACCCAAGTGCAGCTTCTCCTTCCTTCCTCCCGCAAGGCTGCAATTTCTGCCTTCCTCTCTGGACAGGTGCTCTCCCACTGCCCCCTGGATGCCCACCTTCGGGGATGCCACGGGCACCGGGTGGTGCTCTGGCACCTCCACGGTAAGAGATGTCCACAGGGCGAAGAGCCCTGGAAACTTTTTTTTTTTTTTTTTTAAGAATCCTTCTTAAATGCTATTATGACTTGGGATAATTCAAATCTTGGAGCAGGAGACACTCAGCAACTCTCTAAGAGTTCTTGAGGGGACTTGGATTATGAGGCTCAGAAGGGAGGAGCACTCAGTTTATTTTGCTTAGAGTCTCTGATGAGCGCGACTTTTAGACCGCAATAGGAAGTGGGTACCCCAAAGAGGCTGTTTGTAGGAAAGTTCAGCCGCAACCCTGGGCCTCTCAACCCAGGGCACTGAGGGCTGCAGTTCAAAGTCATTGGTCAGGATCCTAAGGCTTTTTATAAAGGGAGTTTTGCATGAAGATAGTGTCATTCCTCAACTATATCCCTGACACTTTAACCAACGGAGAAAATAGGAGCAGAGACCATCTTCTCCCCTATATTCCTCCATCATCCTCACAGCACAGTGCCTTGTTGTACACAGAAGTTGCTCAATAAGTTATGGAGTTACCCAGTTAAGTAATACTATTTAAGATCTTCCCTGATTCAAGCACTCAGGAAAACATATCCAAAAAAAAAAAAAAAAAAGGTGTGAGCCATCAAAATTGTATACTTGTGCACCCACTATTGTGTTGCTTTTTTTCACTAACTATTAACTTTAAGATTCATTGTTTTAACTTATGATCACAAGCAGGCAAAAAACACTGCCAATTAACCTGGGACATACCATTCATTTTAAGAAACACTCCAATTTCAGCATAGTTAGACATGAGAGGGCATTTTAGAATCAAGGAAATACAGTGTCAAGTATCAAAGTAATAAAATGTGATATTTCTGACACTTCAAGTATATAAAATAGAAAGTCCAGTAGTCAACCCTCATCTATGGAAAATGTGTTCCAAGATCCCRGATGGATGTCTATAATTCTATAATATGAATAATATCAAGTCCTATATACAGTATATCACCATGCCTTTTCCCTATTTCCCCTGCAGCGTGGCCCCATAGTGCCAGAGTTAGTCTGTTCTTTTGTGTTTTGTGCCCTGATGCCTCCTTTGCCTTAAYACTATTGTACTTTGGGACCATTATTAAGTAAAATGTGGATTATTGGAATGCAAGTATTGCAACACTAGAATAGTTTATCTGATAACTGAGATGGCTCCCAAGTAACTAACAGGTACATAGTGTATACCGTGTGGATTTATTGGGCAAAGGGATGACTCACACAACCTCAGGTGGAATGGAATGAGATTTCATCACTGTACTCAGAATAGCATTAAAATTTATAAAATGTTTATTTCTAGAATTTTCCATTTAATATTTTCAGACATGGGATGGCTGTGGGTAAATGGAACTATAGAAAGGGAAACTATGGAGAAAGAGGGGGATTTATCTTTCACTTCTCCTCTCATAGTCTCCATGATTATTATTAATTTTTTTGTCAATCCTTAAAAGAGCAGAATAATACTATGACTACATTTAAAATTTTTCATTTAATTCATTGTTGGAAAATGTTTTCAACCATTTACAAAGCTGTGAAGCTTAAAAGGATGCTTTGAAGGTTTAGTATAAGATCAAAATGTACCACTAGTGACAAAAAGAGAGCTCCTGAAACAAWGAAATGCATAAATTGTGTGTATTAACTAGATTAAAGTGTCCGTATGAGTGGGACTGACATACAATGAACAAGGGAGAGTGGAACAGAATGAGCTATTTCTTTCTTACTTTTGTGAGAAAAGATTGTGAATTGCTTGTAGAACAGACACCAAAAGTTGAATCTAGTTTCAAAAACAATGGTTGTAATGTTAGCATGCATAGGTATAGATTTCTGGATCCCATCCCAGATCTATGATATTATATTCTACATTTTTGACAAGTACTCCTAGGAGATGGTGAGATCTACATGTTCCCAGACCAAAATTTCCAGAAACATTATTCTAAGACAGTGGCGCTCAAACTTTAGCAATGGAATCTGGTGTGATTTTGCATGTCTATAATCCTAGCTACTTGGGAGACTGAGATAGGAGGATTGCAAGTCCGAGGCCAGCCTTAGCAAAACCCCTTCTCAAAAAAGTCTAGGGATATTAGTTCAGTGGTTGAATTAATCCCCAGTACCACTACCACCATCATCACCACCACCACCACCAAGAACAAAAAAAAAAAAAACACCATAAAACTTCAACATGGATCAGAATCACCTGAAAGACTTGTTCAATCACAGTGCTGGGTCCCATTTCCAGCAAGACTCCCATCTCAAAATAAAAAATAAAAAAAGGCTAGGGATGTTAGTTCAGTAGTATAGTTAATCACCAGTACCATCACCACTGCCACCAACACCAAAACCACCATAACACTTCAACATGGGTCAGAATCACCTGTAAGACTTGTTTTATCACAGTGCTGGACCCCATTTTCAGAAATTCTGATTGAGTAGATCTGAGAGATGTGGACTGAGAATTTTCATTTCTAATAACTTCCTAGGTGATGATGATGATGTTAGGGGTAGGAGGAACACATTGCTGAAAAAGAACTGCACAAGATTCCACCTAGTCATCCCTCAGTATTCAAAGGGGATTGGCTCCAGGACCTCCAAGGATACCAAAATCTGAGGATTCTTAAGTTCTTTATATGAAATGGCATAGATTTGCATATAAGCTACACAAAACCTTCAATATACTTTAAATGGTCTCTAGATTGATTATAAGTAAGGTAATATGAATGCTATGTTAATGGGTTATATATTGTATTTTTTGAAGAACAATGACAGGAAAAAGTATCTCTGCATATTCAGTGCAGATACAATATTTTTTTCCCATATCCTCAGCTGATTGAACTTGAGAATGTGGAATTCTTGAAGGGCTGACTGTAGTTTGTTTTTGTCTTTTTTAGGGGGGGATATATTGAACTTAGGAGCACTCGATCACTGAGCCACATCCCCAGCCCTATTTTGTATTTTATTTAGAGACAGGATCTCACTGAGTTGCTTAGTGCCTCACTTTTGCTGAGGCTGGCCTTTAACTCATGGTCCTCCTGCCTCAGCCTCCAGAGCTGCTGGGATTATAGGCTGTTACTTTCTTTATACTACACAATATTTCAAGCATAGAAAAGTTTAGCACCTACTAAAATACCCATGGGCCTATAACCTGTCAATAACACATGCATACATATACATGTTACTCTTTAAGCCATTTTTGTACATTTCTCTAATGTCATTCTCTTTGCTAACCAAAAGAATATTTTTTCATCAATATTTTTGTAATTTTAGTACATTTATGTTTATAAAAATATTATTGCTTAGCATTTTTAGATGTTTGGATATCTATAATATTTACAAATGCTCTTAGTAATTCTTCAATTGTATTTTTCTATATGCACTTGTTCATACATATATAATTCTTTTAAAGATTTATATTATTCCCATGCATGCACATACTACATTCTGTCCTTCTAAAACTATTTTATCTGTAGTTTTGCTCCCATATTTATTTCTAAATACTTATTTTTTCCCTTGATTTATCTGGCAAGAGATTGGAAGTGACTAGTTTTCAATGCTCATCTTTTCTTTAAATACCTTTATTTTTATGTGGTGCTGAGGATTGAACCCAGCACCTTGCACATGCTAAGCAGGCATTCTACCTCTGAGCCACAACCCCAGCGCCTCAATGCTCATCTTTTTGTTTTGTTTATTTTCAGTGTCATTTATTTTTCACGTTGGTTTTGTTTATTTTTTTTTGTTTTGTTTTGGTACCAGGGATTGAACTCAGGGCCACGTGACAACTGAGGCACATCCCCAGCTCTATTTTGTATTTTATTTAGAGACAGGGTCTCACTGAGGTGCTTAGTGCTTAGCTTTTGCTGAGGCTGGCTTTGAACTCATGATCCTCCTGCCTCAGCCTCCTGAACTTTCACATAGATTTTTAAATTCTTTCCCTCTCCTTTCTTTGGGTATATTATTTAGTCTTAAGTTTGAACTGATTGCTTAGTTTGTTAATCTGTACCTCCTCTCTCTCCCAAAGAAACACTTTAGCTACATTTTGCAAGTTTTGATGTGTTATATGGAATTTGAGATGAAACATTTTTCAATGTCATTAAATATTCAACTCATAAATCACTGGACAATTTTGGCTGGCTCTTTGGATTG